GAATAATAGATAATCCGTGAGAGTTATGCTTAACACTGAGTGGATAAGTGGTAATTACCCATGTTCCATAAATTATGTACCAACATAGAATTGTCTAGATGGATCACAATAACAAGTGATCTATGTAAGCTAGAAAGTTCACGTCTTATCTTGACAAGTAGAAGACCCCTTATCGATGTGGGAGATACCAGATTCCATGTTAGTAGCTCCCATGGTCTTACATGTCGGTGAAAGGTAATTGTCCCACATTAATGCATCAAGGTTACTTAAAGGAGTACGTCACATGTCTTTAAGATGATGTTTATTTGCATTAACCATGTTTTATGACTTATGTTTTCTAAACCTCTTTATATATCATGTTTTGGCTTGGTCATAGCATTCCATGAAGATATCTCCTTTTAAGCATGATTTTAAATGTATTATGCATAACTATCATATTTGATACATATTTGTACTAACACATACTCTTGCCTATATTTCCTCAGATAGATTCACACTTTCGTGGCTAGTGATCTCATTTAGAAGATTGAAGATTGGTGACTCTCATCACCCGAGGACCGAGCTTTGATTTCCCTTTTGTTTTTACTTTTAGTTTTCAGACTTGATGTACAGATTGCGTCCTGATTAATCATATGTACTAGATGTATTTTGAGATGATATTTAGACTTTCACTTTACTCGAAATGTCTTTTAAATTATTTTATTATATTATCTTGTATGATAAATAGTAAGTGGCTTGTATCGGGCCTCTCTAGGTCTTATATGTCATCTTACACCTAGGGGCTACCTTTGGTCATGACAAACTATCCCATCATCTTCCTATTCATTGCTAGGAAGACTTTCTTAACTATAAATAGTAGTGGTCTTCGTATGTTTTGGGGTACACACAAGAAAATATAGAATGCATAAAAGTTAGTAAAAGAAAAAGAGTTCTTATTAATTGAAGAGATGTGTTTTTAGTGGAGTTTTAGACTCAACTTTTGACCAAAGTTTGCTGAGTTGAACTTTGTGATTAGGTTGTTGTATCCTGGAGGGAAAAAAGAAGAGGACGACCACTGAACCTGTGAAAACATTTATTGTAGTGATCAGTTTGAATCTTCTTAAAGCGAGATATTTACGCTTCAACTGGAAGCTAGATTTTATTTCTTCATTTTTTTCCAATTGTAATCTTGTAATTTTTTATTAACAGAAACAATCTATAAAAGAAGGATGATTGTGCAAGCGCAATATATATGTGCGACAAGTCTCACTCATGCAAATTTCATTCATATATGTGACACAATTGTCACTCTTGTAAAGAGAAAAGACATAAAATCACCACTGAATTTGTTTTGAATTTTTAAAAAGACACCTTAACTTTGCGGACATCCTATTACCCCCTTAAACAATTTTAAAGTGTTGTAAATACCCCATTTTTTAACTATCCTCACTTGCAAGAAAAGAAGTTCAATCACGCACCTATTATAATCTGCCATGTATCAATTTTTATTTTTCTTATTTTATCAACTTCATTTTCTTTTTTTTTCTCTTTCTTCTTCTTTCTTTATCTCTTTCTTTAGTCTCTTTCTTCTTTTCTTTTCTTCATAACCCTCCTTTTTTTCTCTTTCTTCATTTTCTTTCTTCTTTTTCTTCGTAATCAAATTCTCCACGTAATGCCATTTTCATCAATTCACTTTTGATTAATCAACGGAGATCTGAGCTTGATATTAATAGTTTGAATTTTTTTGAGATGTGTTAATTTAATGAATTATTTTCTGTTAAAACATCTATTATAAATAGTTTTTTGTGATTCTATTTGTCAATAATAATTTTTTTCAAACTCTAATTCACATTATTAAAGCATCATTGAGGAAGATGATGAGATAAATTTGTGTTAATGATATTTGATCTGCCATTAATTAAGTTTAACACATTTGAGGCAATTGTAAACCAATTTGAGGAAGATGATGAGGTAAATAATTAATAAAGAAAATGATTGAAACGTGACACTTTTTAATTGATTTTTGACAATTAAAGTGGACCTTCACGCGCGTCATGTATGTGTTCACAAACATGGCGAGAAAATAAATCAAAATGATTTTTTACAAAGATATTCAATACTTTTGTGGGATAATAGAATGTCCGCAAAGTTAAAGTGATTTTTTTAAAATTCGAAACAACTTCAGTAGTGCTTTTATGTCTTTTCTCCTCTTTGTAAATAATATTCATGCATGTATGGCATGTTTCTTTGCTTACTCACCATCAACATCGATACATATCATGTGTGCTAACATGTGTCACTTATACACATCAATATACTAATACATGTCATACAATCTAACACATACTTACGTTTCTATCAAAATGATACGTTATTTAATTGCCTTTAAAATTATCCATAAATTTTAATCGACATTCATTTATTAGTCCATTAATTAATTAAATCAAACTTAATCACGTATATATCTTATACATTTTGTACAATTTTTTAAAAAGAAAATGGGAAAGGGAAATGAGAAATGGAGAGAAAATTATAATGAGGGAAATCGAGCTCGTATCAACAAAGTAAAATTTAGATAATCAATCAATTAAGCTATTAAGATTTTTATCTTTTAGGATAGTTTAATTGCTGATTAGGAAGAAAATTATCAACTAGCTAATAGGAAAAAGAACTTGATATGCCCCTCAATTTTACGATTTAGAATTGATATATCTCTCGTTATAAGATAAGCTCATATATGTTTTGTCATTACACAAATGACTCTAATATACCGTTTCAGTCTAACTGAAGTGAATCTCTTTTAATCTATTTATTTATTTTGGGAATTTCTTATTTTGATGGTCAAAATTATTTTTTCACTCATTTTTCGTAAAAAGTTATCATAGATGCCCAATTTTATTTTTTTCTTTTAACATAAATTACAATATAGCTGGATAAAACTTATTTTTATTTTTTTCTTATTCTTTTTCTCTTTTTACATCTATACTTCTGTCTTTTTATTTTTCATATTTTTATACTAAAAGATAAAATAAAAAATTGAAATAACAATTAAAAAAACTCAAATAATTATAAGTAAATAGAAAATTACAAATATTTAAAGCATACATTAGCCGTTGAATCAAACTTTGCTATAATAATCATCTCCACATGATTTTTTTTTTCAAAAAGGTTAATTTAGAGTTATTCTTTTCACTTTCCTTAAATGAAAAAGAGACATATATATAAGCCATATTTATAATAATAAAAATATATGAATCGTTTTTATTGTAATAAAATATATATTAACTATTTTTATGATATGGTATTATCGATCCATTTTTCCTAATTAATGATATGTTTGGTAACTTTTAGCTGCTTCGTATAAAAATTAACATATCAAATAGGGTATTTGATAATTTTACATAGTTTAAAAAAAGTTTGAATAAATTTATATTTATTTATTATAAAATAAAATATAAAATAATTAATGCAAAAATATTAAATGCTCTCTTTACTTGCAGTTACAAAGCTCTAATCAAGGGTTTCAATAGGAAGATTTGATCAGTTATTCTTAAAAAGTTATGCCATTATATTTTTTTAAGTATTTTATAAAAAATCAAAATTAAATTTTTTATAACTATATTGATTTTTCTTTACTATCGATAAGATTATAATTCTCAAATACATAATCTTGCAAATGTGAAACTGTTATAAATTGAATATTTATTATATTCCTTAAAAAACACCCCTAAAATTAAATTAAGCAAATTATTTTCAAAAAAGTTAAATTCATCGAAACGAATCCACCCATATAGCATGAAAATAGCGCAAAATGGGGGAAAATAGAGTAATACGAGTGGGTACCATTTAATTGTAATTAAAGTTTTACTCATTAGTAGGTATGTTTATTTTAGGTGCAATACTTATGGGGAAGTATAAATAGAAATGTACCTAAAATATCTTTAAATTTTTCATAAATTGTTAGTGTAATTTTTATTTTTGGATTGTTGATAATTTTACAAAAGTATTTTTTTTTTGACTGAATTTAAATATACATCTTCAACATGACATAATAAGTCGTTTAAAACTCTGATAGAAACATAAATTCTTGATAAAAAATGGAGAACAATGTTGAAAACATTATTGCTCGCTCAGGATTCTGTCTTTAGTCAGTTGGTAACTTTCTGAGCCTTAGTGCGCATGGCCTTGCTTCCTTTGCGCTCACCAATGAGCAGTGAAAGTCCCGGAACTTGTTAATTGACTGGCTGGCTTCCGAAAGGAACCGGAGCTCTTCTAGCCACTAACGGCTCATAGGCCTCCTCATCCCGAAAGGGAAAGGGAGCAGAGGGTAGGATATGATCACGTGAGGGACACGAAGGCATTAAGAAAGCAATCGCCCCCCCCTTTGATATTATATTTAATGAGAATTGAATACATCTCTCTCATATTGTAAAATCGAAAGGATAAATAAATTTATCTAATCAACTAAGGAGGTATTTTCAAAGCAATCAATAATATAAAAATGAACTTAATAATTCACGTTAAATTTAAGAGATTTTTTATTTTTTTGGACAATAAAAATAAATTTTGGTGCTCTGTATCTCAAACGGCGAAATTTCAGCTTCACCTCCGTTTTTGCCCCGTTTCCATTGGCCCCTCCGGCCAACCAGTATGTCTGCGATACTGTTTCGTATGAATTTTCTACACGCGCCACCGTTGGCGCGTGCATTTTCGTCCATTTGGCACGTGGGCTATTACATTCCTCTCTCTCTAGGTGGATACGTCAAAACTATATATATTATTCCCCGGTATCGATGTAGAGATGGAGAGAGAAAGATGGCAATAGATTTTGAAAGAATTAAATAAAATAATAATAATGGAGTCTAGTAGATGGAAAAAATGACTACTTTATTGTGCAAAAGTGCGTCTAAGTTCTCTTCATGTAAGGTCTATGGCCCCCACCTACCCCCACCCCCCCTCCTTTAGATTCTTCTCCTTTGCTTCCATTTTCTTCTTTCCTACAGCAAACAACGGCGACAACAAAACCTCTTCTTTCTCTCTCTATATCTCTATATATAAATATATGGGTTGTAATGGCAGTCTCTTTTTCTCTACTAATACTAGTACAAGACACTTGCGTATTTTAATTTTTTCAGAATATTAGAAGTTTCATTAGTAAGAATACTGAGAGTTTTTTTTTGTTGTTGAAAAAAGGGAAGTGATGAAGTGAAAACCCGGATTTGCCCCTTAATCACCTCTAGTTTTGTGGTGGTCGGGGTGGGGGTTGGTGCCGGAGATCGGAAAAAACTGAAAACAGGTTGCAATGTGGTGGCGGTTTATTTAATCAGGTTGTGGGTGCATTGGGTTTTTGGTTAATTTGGGTTTGTTGATGATACCAATGCATGTGAGGGGAAATGGAGTTTCGGATAAGAAGAAGATGATGCCTATTCTTGGGATCTGCATGTGGGGGAACCATAAGATCTCAGTATTGGATTGGTTTTGCTCTCCAAGAGAGGATGTCTATATTTATTCTTTCTTCTGGTAATTATGCTCTGCAATTTCTTTTTCTGGTTTTTACTTTGAATTTCATGTTTATTTTAATGGTTTAACTTGATCTGCTTTTTGTATTTTGGTGATTATGGGTTGACGTGCATAGTGGATTTATGACTCCGGATGAATAAAATAGTTTTTTTTTTGATTTGGCAAGTTAATATTCTTTTTTCAACTTGTTGGACTAGTTTTTGTCTTTTGAGACTGTGCTCTATGTTTATATATTATTGCAAGTGGATGTTGGTGCATGCATTTGTTTCTATTCTTGTATGTAATGATGTCATGATGCCATTTTTTAATCTATTATATTAAATTTAAAGGTGTTTTCATGTTCTTGGCTAAGAAATTGTTGAACTGGAAATGAAATTGACAACTTGCTTGTTTCATGCATATGTGGTTTTGTTGGATTTTGTCAGGTTTATGATTAGCGTTGGTGCTGAAATAATGATTTAATATAGTAAATGGGCTGAAGACGACTTGCTCAATGTTGAGGACGTTAGCATCAGCTTTGTTGGTTTTGTCCTTCTTTGTTTCCTTATCGGCTGCTGATAATGGTTTCCCGCGATGTAACTGTGATGATGAGGGATTTTGGAGCATTGAGAGTATCTTAGAGTGCCAAAAGATTAGTGATCTCTTTATTGCGATTGCGTATTTTTCCATCCCAATTGAGCTCCTTTACTTTGTCAGTTGTTCTAACTTTCCATTCAAATGGGTGCTCTTCCAATTTATTGCATTCATTGTTCTGTGTGGGATGACTCATTTGCTCAATTTCTGGACTTACTATGGCCAACACCCGTTTCAGCTTATGCTTGCTTTAACCATTTTTAAAGTCCTCACTGCACTGGTATCCTTCGCCACGGCTATAACCCTTATTACCCTCTTTCCTATGCTGCTTAAAGTCAAGGTGAGGGAATTTATGCTGAAAAAGAAGACTTGGGATCTTGGTAGAGAAGTTGGATTAATAAAGATGCAAAAAGAAGCTGGATGGCATGTTCGGATGCTTACACAGGAGATTCGAAAGTCACTTGACCGTCATACAATACTCTACACAACTCTGGTGGAGCTATCAAAGACGCTGGATTTGCATAACTGTGCTGTTTGGAAGCCCAATGAGAATAAAACTGAGATGAACCTAATTCATGAGCTGAGAGACAGTAGCTTTAATAGCGCGTATAATTTACCTATCCCGAGAAGTGATCCAGATGTTATACAGGTTAAGGAGAGTGACGGAGTAAAGATACTTGATGCCGACTCCCCACTTGCTGTTGCGAGTAGTGGAGGGAGTAGGGAACCAGGAGCTGTGGCTGCAATTAGGATGCCGATGCTTAAAGTGTCGAACTTCAAAGGTGGAACTCCTGAACTTGTCCCAGAATGTTATGCCATACTGGTTTTGGTTCTACCTAGTGAACAAGGTAGATCATGGTGCAGCCAGGAAATTGAGATAGTCAGGGTTGTGGCTGATCAGGTTGCTGTGGCTCTGTCCCATGCTGCAATTCTTGAAGAGTCTCAGCATATGAGAGAAACATTGGAAGAGCAAAACCGAGCTCTGGAACAAGCAAAGCAGGATGCACTTAGGGCGAGTCAAGCAAGGAATGCATTTCAGATGGTTATGAGCCATGGTCTGAGAAGACCCATGCACTCAATATTGGGTCTGCTCTCCTTGTTGCAAGATGAGAAATTGGGTAATGAGCAGCGGCTTCTTGTGGATTCAATGGTTAAAACCAGTAATGTCGTGTCAACCCTAATAGATGATGTGATGGATACTTCAACAAAGGACAACGGTAGATTCCCTTTGGAGATGAGATATTTTCAGCTACATTCCATGATAAAAGAAGCTGCTTGTCTTGCCAAGTGTTTGTGTGCTTATAGGGGTTATAATATTTCCATTGAGGTTGACAAATCTTTGCCAAATCATGTTCTCGGTGATGAAAGAAGAGTTTTTCAAGTTATTCTTCATATGGTTGGAAATCTTTTGAAGGACCCCAATGGAGGTCTTCTCACATTTAGGGTTCTCCCAGAAAGTGTAAGTAGGGAAGGCATTGGTGGAGCATGGAGAACAAGGAGGTCAAACTCATCTCGTGATAACGCCTATATCAGGTTTGAAGTTGGAACAAGCAATAATCATTCTCAGCCAGAGGGGACCATGTTGCCACATTACAGGCCAAAACGCTGCAGTAAGGAGATGGATGAAGGCTTGAGTTTCACTGTGTGCAGAAAGCTGGTTCAGGTATTCTATTGCTAATACCAGCATCTGAGTATGTATATTCTGGAGTTTATAAACCAAAAAACTGTTTCATTTGGTTCTATTCCCTTCTTTCTGTGGTTTATAGTACACTCAACTTTGATAAAATCATTCTGTTATAGGTTAAAAGAGAAAAAATGATAGTATTACAAAAGAAAAATGATATTTAAGCCTGACTAGTTTTTAAATTTCTACTGCAATTGGATGAGACCTTTTAAATTGTGATTTCTGGATGGCGTTAACTACTACAATTTCCATGTCAAAGAAGATAAAGCAATTCATGACCTTGATTGCCTGTCATGTAATTAAATATGTCGTTTTCCCTGTGAATGAGAAATATGATACTAAAGTTGCTTAAGCTGTTTGTTGCGGAACTTTTAATCCCCATTTGTTTGGGAATGAAATCTGAAACCACTCATACAAGTTGGTAGTACCGTAGTACTTGTTCTCTTTTTTCTCCCTTCGATTATAATTTAAGTGCATATAGTTGTGGTTTGGGGTAGGCACTAACATCTTGCTGGTATGCAAATATGATGAACAGTTGATGCAAGGAGACATCTGGGTAATCCCAAATCCAGAAGGTTTTGATCAAAGCATGGCTGTCGTTCTTGGGCTTCAACTGCGGCCATCAATTGCCATAGGCATTCCTGAATATGGGGAATCTTCTGATCATTCGCATCCACACTCACTCCTCCAAGGTGTTAAAGTTCTGTTAGCAGATTATGATGACGTGAATAGAGCGGTAACAAGTAAGCTACTTGAAAAATTGGGATGCAGTGTTTCTGCAGTTTCATCTGGACGTGACTGTATTGGTGTTCTTAGCCCTGCTGTATCCTCATTCCAAATCGTCCTTTTGGATCTTCACCTGCCTGATTTGGATGGCTTCGAAGTAACCATGAGAATTCGGAAGTTTGGTAGCCACAACTGGCCATTGATAGTTGGTTTAACTGCGACTGCTGATGAAAATGTTACTGGAAGATGCCTGCAGATTGGAATGAATGGACTTATTCGTAAACCAGTGCTATTGCCAGGTATCGCTGATGAGCTTCAAAGGGTTCTGCTACGGGGAAGTAGAATGATGTAATTGATGTTGACGGTGCCTTATAGGAGTGGAGTTTATAAGGCAGGGCTTCATCAACCACGTAATGCTAGATGTTCAAACGAAATTGCTTGGACCACTTCCCACCCCTGAAGATTCCAGCATACAGATGTAACGTACATACAATCTTTGAAATCAAAATGGTACAGAAAATATATCGTCTTTTCTACTCTCATAAAAGCCCTCAGCTCTAAAGGATTTGAGCCAGGTTTGCCGATTCTACATGTTATTGAGCTTAGCAACTCAGAATATTTAACTAATCTGTTGTTAGAACTGAAAAGTATATACTGTTGAGAAATGACTCCAGAATAGCTCCATTTCTAAGTGTTCTGGAGCACTATTAGATTTGCATTTGCAGGAATATTTATTGCCAATTGAAAATTTTGGGTGAAGAATGTTCAAAAGGCTGGTCTAAAATGTAGGCTTATATTGAATATGCATTCACAGTTATACTAAGATACTTCATAAGATGAAACTAAACATACTTCTAAAATGCTTACCAGAAAAGATATTCTAGATTGAGTGTTTACCTTGTGTCCATGGGGAATCCACTTAGCACCCTTTATTTATGTATGTACACTATACCTATATGTCAACAAATTTTTGTTTAAACAATTATGAGCTTCCCTAGTACCTTTTTCTCGATTGTTAAGGTCGTAAGTGGAGGATGCTTACTATCTGATCATCTCTTCTTTTCTATATGTTGATTATAATCTTTGACCGAGTTAAATCCACTTAGTTTCCTTTCGAGTGTGTTTGATATGGAGGGAAAACATTTTTTCATGTCTGGTTGGACAAAATTTTGGGGAATGTTTTCTTTAGGAAAAATAGTTTTTAAGGGGAAAATAACTTTATTAAAGAGCAAAGTAAAGAAAATAAGTTTCATAAGTGATATTTTATGTTTATTGTATTCTCTCCTTTCGCCCAAGTTCCTTTTTTTACTTACTTTCCAAACAGTAGAAAATAAGTTAGAAATATTTACAAAAAAAAATATTTTCCTTCGTAGCAAACAAATCCAAATTCGTGTTCACTTTTTTTTTTTTAAAAAAATAGTGGATCCCCATTATTCAAATCCAATTCATCTTTAATCTATTAAAACTTAGATAGCTATATAACTCGAATTGACAAGATATTTTGATTTGTTAGATAAAGTTATAATAAAAGAATAATTTATTAGCTACTAATATATGTGAAGAACAATTAAAGCAATTAAGCTTTGTAAATTGGTTGGACCGAGTCTTGACTCGTTATATAATTCATTACTTCATTCTTTTTTATTCAACCCGTTTTATTCCAAACAAAATTGGGTTGAATTATGTGACTCAATTGTTTTCTTAATCTATTATGACCTGTTTAAATTTCATTCAACTCAAGAATAATTTCTATCTTGTTAGAAGAGAAAAACCAAGGCGTTTGGTGGGTCATTCGTGCATATCTTTCGTTGAAAAATTACGTAGTTTATAAGAATTAAATATTAGCTATTAGTTTAGTTTTGTAATTTTTGAACTTTGTCACGATAAGCAACTTGGTTGAGACATGTGTAGTGCATGTTCTATATATGTTTGGATATGGCTAAAAAGCTCATTTTCCAACTTACATCATATCCAAGGCATGGGCATTTTGCATGTAAGCCCATTCCTCAGTTTTGTGTGCATTCATTTGATTGTTTTTTTTCTCAAACTTAAAGACAAAATTATAGACCCATGCATGAATTTAGATACGTACACGCTACATGCATTCTCCTTCTTCCCCATTTATTTTTCTTGTAAACATCGATATATGCCTTAGCCTTACCATAAACCAACGAAACAAAACAAACTACACACTTCAACGTCTCTTTCTGAAAAAACTCATCGATATGATAGTTTTCATCTATGAAAACACTTCAGGTCTTTAAGTCTTCAAATTCGAGGCTTTTATTTTTTTTTAACAATAATAAAAAAGCATTATGTGTGTTCTTAAAAAATAAATTATATTGTTCGTTTCAATTTTTAATTTAAGACTATAAAGGTCAAATTATTATTTTTTACTTTCTTACATATTAAACTTCAACTCCCTTCTTCATCTTTTGATATTATAGTTCACACGCAACTTCACTTGGGTTTCAACTCATGATAATAGCACTCCCATTTATCTTCGTGGAGGATGAAATTCCTATTTTATATAACATTGTAAAAGTCTATATAAACACTTCATGTACCTTTTTATACAACACTTAGTATATTACTAGGTACAAAAGTCCGGGCCCAATATATGTTATTTTATTTATTTTAATTTTACAATTTTGTTAATGAATTAATTTTATAAATATATTATTAAACATTACTTTTTAAATAATATATGTGACACGTGTAATGATATAAGAGTCCTAATTTGTAAGCAGCCACGATAAACCTGAAATGACTAAATTATCCTCAAACTTAATAAATAATTACGAAAAACACACGCGTCGACCTAGACATCGACGTGTGTGCTTATTCCCTTTTATATATTAGTAGTTGATGTACAATAATGGTATATAACGTTGTATAAGCACAGTTGCAAACAAAAATGGGCTATATTAGTGTAACGTAAAAAATAGAGCTATTTGATGTAATATTTTGTGTTAAGCTTTATATTTTTGAAAAAAGATCCCGTTGTATGCTGGTGCCAAAATGTTTTTTTTTTATTTGTTATTAATCTCTCCATTTCATCATTTACTTGATTATATATAAGGATAAATCTACATATATCTACTTAGTTTTCACTTTTGACACAACCCGAAATTTAATGGGCCATAATTGATACTGGGTGAATTGGCCCGGCCCACAAGCTAAGGAAAAGGCTGAGAACCTTTTGTAAAAATAAACTTTATATTATAAATAAATAAAATCCTTCCGTTCTTAAAGTTAAAAAAAAAAAAAACATTGGTGTTAATTATACAATGTTTAAACTAAACTTGACATTCGATTTCAAAATTTGATAAAAGAAATACTCCGAACTTGTTTTCAAATTCCATTGCTATAAATTAGAAATAAAGTGTTACCTTCACTTCTCTGTGAAAAAAATATATATAATAAACACAATTTTATCATCGTAAATTTCATATAAAGTGAAAGTATAATAAAAATTTGATCAAAATTTTTCTAATAGACTTTTTGGTAATAATACGTGTTGTCGTTATCAATATTATTTGAGTGTACCGTACCAAATTTGCACTCATATTTCAAATGTACTTTCCGCATTTTCTAGAAACTCAACGAGGAAGAAAATTAAGAGATGTATTACATACACTGTTGCCTACCATTTTCATTTGACCAAAAAAATCAAGTTTTGTTTTGTATTTAGAAGCTTCGAATCGTTTAATTTCTGGATATTTCTACACTAAATTCGTCAAAAATCATATATTTGCAAAAAAATTATGGTTTCGATAAAAAGAGTGTACAATAGAAATACACATAAATTTAACGAAAAATCTAATTTTATATATTGAGTTGATTAGTTCATTTAATTGGACTTCAAATGATGAGTCTAAAGTTCATTGGATGCCTTTTATCCTTTGAAAAGTTTGTTAACATATCAAATCATCAAGTAGAGAAGCCAATGGGATCTAGTTTTCACTTATGGGTTAGGGATTGAAAATAATAATGATGAGACAAAAAAATATATATACTTTCTTAGTTTGAAAAAGAAATGTCTTTGTTTTTTTAGTCTGTTTATATGAATAAATTATCCCTAGCGAATCAAGGATAACTTATTCTTTGTAATATGCAAATAACATTATGCTTTTGAAAAAGTAGGATATATATACTCTTTCACTCAAATAAAAAACTAAATATGGATAGGTAACATAATTTTATTCCTCAATACAAATATTTACATATAATTTTCGATAGTTCATGATTATATTTATCTTTTTTTCCAAACTAATTTCGGTTGGCTCAGATGGTGGAGCCAGCTGATTAAAAAGAACTTTTCCCTACCTTTTAACACCAAGTTGTTTATCAACCTTTTACCTTTAATGCCAAGTTCTTAAACTTCATTGGAGGGAGAAGGTGAGATTAGCACTAATTGAGTATCCTTTTGTCATTGGTAATGTTAATTATACAGATTGTAGAGACAGAACAAGGGCTAAATCACTAGAGATTATTAACAGAAATACTAAAACTAAATCTTACATTTGCCCTTGCAATTTATCAAATCGCCAATTACAAATCAGATTGTATCAACATCTACCCTAACATTAAGATCCAGATCTATAAATTCTCATCGTCTATCGGAGCTTCCTGCACATACAAACGGCACCAACGGAGCCGGCTCGTAACAGAACGGCGACGCCGGATGCTGCCACTTCTTAAACACCATTACCGGCTTCTCCGTATGCTCTTTCTTCACCTCTTCCTTTTGAACCGAGCTGGAGAAAGCATTTATCGCCGCCTTCAAGTTGTCCGATTCAGGAGACGTCGGAGAAGTTATCAGCGGCGAGAGAAGCGGTATCGCAACATTCCAATCGGTTGCTCGATCTACCTGTATCGACGCCGGCGCTCTGCGCTGTAACCGGCTTGGTTTGCGCCGGTCGCCGGAAGAAGAAATGAGTGGTTTGTTGTCTGCCATAGAGAGATTTAGGGTTGCAGAGAGGGTAAGAAAGGTATAAATAGGGGCATGTGGAGGGCACGATGCGGAGGGAGTTAAAGCGGATAAAGGAATGGATAGAGATTCAGTCAAAGGTCAAAGAAACGGAACCACAGAAAAGGAGAGAGTTTCTCTATACAAAAGCAGTATTTTATGTGACGTTATTCGCACACAAACTTTAACATCTTATTTTATTCTCCCCATGTCACATTCTCTATTTTTTTTTATAAAATCATATCAGATGTATTGAAAAATTTGTATGATTACAAGAGCATCAGTAGTGAGTAATACACTCAATATAATTTTAAAAGATAAAACTTGAGGATAATAATTTTAAGAGATAAAATTAGACGATAATAGAGTATACACCACAACACACTATACTAAATTATTACTAAATTAAAATAGGTGGATTATAAAATATTATTATTTTATAGAGATATTATTTAATTGTAAAATAATATTCCCTCTGTTTAAAAAATAAATATCTCTTTTAACTTTTTGGTCTGTTTAAAAAAGAATGTCTCTTTCTTTTTTTGGTAACATTTTGCTTTAAGTTTTTCACGTGATTTAAGGCCACAAGATTAAGAGTGTGTTTGGTAGGAAAAATGTTTTTCAATTTTCTCATGTTTGGTTGGGACAAAAGTTTTGGAAAATGTTTTTCAAATCAACTCATTTTCCTCAAAATTAAGGAAAATGACTTCCCTTCAAAAAATTAAAGAAAATATTTTTCAAAATTTTTCTCCAATTTCAAATTACATTTTTTTGGGGGGAAAACAACAATTTTTTTTAA